TAATTTAAAATTAAAAAAATACCAGCTCTAGAATTTTTTTTTATTTTATAAGGTAGTTATATTATGTTACAACTATACAAATTAAGGGAAAGTAGTGATATATGAGGTGAAAATTTGAGGTTAATTATATATTATAAATTATATCATTTAATCAATTGATATATATAATATTATAAATTTTAATAAAATAAAAAAATAAATTATTAAATAATATATAAAATTTACTATTTAATATTATTTTAAATGAGGTATACCACCTTGGTCATAAATTTTAGTCTGAAAATTTTGATTGAATAATAATGACGGTCCCTATTACCGTGCTACAGCATGTTTGGCAAGAACTCTATAATTCAATCTTTAAACTTTGCGTAAAAAAAAAAAATCGTATGGATTTGTAGCATTACCCAATAAAAAGTAGTACAGTGGGCATACCCTGTGCAGTCTATGGCTACGTAAGGCTAAAAAACAGAGGCTGCGTCTTCCTCTTTCCTGGTGAAAGGCAGACGAAGACGCAGCAGAATTCCACTTCTTTTCCTTCTCCGAAGTCAACAACACTAAACAGCAGAAGTTCCTTTCTCCATATGATCCCAAATAAATATAAATGAGAAACAAATAAAGAAGACCCATAAGAGAAAGAAAGACCCTCGATATGAATTCTTCAATAAGATCTGAATTACAAAGAAAGATAGGAGATACAGAGGCTTTAAAAATGAAGAAATCAGAATATTCTCATATCCATGATGGAGATTCGCAGCAAACAAACACTGGTGCTGTATTATTATGGGCTACAAGACAAAATAGCCTAACAGTAAAATGCAAAAAATTAAGAAATTAAATAACATAATGAATCTGTGATTATCATCTATCCAAATCAACTTCAGAATTTCTGTTGACCAATTCAACTTTAACACCTCAACTCTTGAATTACCAACTTAGCTTATTATTATTATTTTCAGTTCTCCATATCACTATAACTGCAATAATGGCCATCGGCAAAGACGACGTCGAGATACTGAAGCCTCGTACGGACAAGAGGGAATACCGGCGGATCGTCCTCAAGAACTCCCTTCAAGTCCTCCTCATCAGCGATCCGGAAACCGACAAGGTACTCTGCAATTCTTTCTCCGTTCTTCCTTTTCATTCTCGTCAGAAATCAACAGTTTCTCATTTTTGTTTCTTGATGTCTCAGTGTGCTGCTGCTATGGACGTCGGAGTTGGTTCCTTCTCTGATCCTGATGGCCTCGAAGGTCTCGCTACTTTACTCGGTACTTCTTCCTAGTTCCTATCATGGTTTTTTGGCTTAATGTTTCAATTTCCGGCAGTTCATTACGATTCAGTTTTATTTCCGACTCCTGGTATTGGGTGCTTGGTCTTAGTGGTTACTTTTTGTTGTGATTTATTTTCTCAGGGCACATGCTGCGCTTTGCTAGTGAGAAGTATCCTTTGGAGGATGGTTACTCAAAGTACATTGCAGAGGTAATGTAATCCACTCTTCCTCCTAATTGATGGTTGACTTAATCTGAATGAATGTTGCTTTCAAATATGCCATGATTTAGTCTTGGGAAATGGAAGAAAAGATATGATCTGTTTTTAGTTGATGAAAAGAGTTGCTTCTAATGGGATTTTTAATTCTTTCTAAACTTGATTAATAATTTCAGAACTCATAGTAGAAAAGAGGATTGTGGACTATGTTAAAGCAATTTATTTCTATCTTTTTATTGACCTCCTTAGTGGTTTATGTACAGCATGGAGGCAGAAGAAATGCCATCATAGCTGCTGAGAGTACCAACTTCCATTTTGATGTTAATAGTGATGGTTTTGAAGAGGCCTTGGACAGGTAGGTGCTGTTTGATCAATTTTCTGATTTTAATTAATTCTCTGTGAGGTTGGATTAGTTTTCCTGATTTATTCTTCAGATTTGCACATTGCTTCATTAAACCATTGATGTCAGCCGATGCAACCACGAGGGAAATCAAAGCAGTTGATTCTGGTTTGCTATTTTCTGGATTTAGTGTAGTATATTATTTCTCACATTGTTGAACCACAATTTATTTGTGCTTATGTCCTCTCTCTCTCTCTCTTTCCAGAGAACAAGAAGAACTTACTTTCTGATGGTTGGAGAATGTTTCAGGTAGTAGCTACACTGTTCTGGACTCTCTTTTTGTCAATTTAGTGATTTCAAACTTTGTTTGGGTTTTTTTATTTTGTGCCCTTAAAGGCACAGGATAAAGGTGCATTTATTGCACCTTTTTATTATAAATGTACATAGAAAAATATAAAAATTGATATTAATTTTAGTGTTAAGTAAATTTAATTAGACAGTTAATAAATTAAAAATTGATTTTTATTTTTTTTAATATCAATTTATGATAAAAAAGTGTATTTAATACACCTTTAACTTGTGGCCTCCCTTTTTTTTTTTAACCAAAGATTTCAGGCTTTTGAATGTGCTAACTTCAAATGCTAAATTTTTTGTTGTTGGTTCTTTTAGTAGAATTAGATCCTATATTTAGATTAGAATACTCTCCCTTGTTTTAGTTTGTTGATTTATTTATCTTTCAGCACAGAGCGTAAAGATGCCATGTAAGGAATCGAATATTTCTTTGCCAACATAGCAAGTATCTTACAGATTAATTATTGATGTCTAGACCAGACTTTGAAAGATGACTTCTGTTTACATGCATGCACTTTGCACATGGTACTTAAAAAATTTGGATTTTGTGAGTGCTTTGAGATTTTGGAATAATTTTCTTGAATTCATTTTCACGAACTTGAGAGTACCGCATTTACACCATGTGCTGCTCATGTTTTGATACTCAAGAATATAATTTTTTCTCTATAATTTTTTCTCTATACTTTTCCTTCTACACAGCTTCAAGGGCACATCAGTATGGAAGGCCATCCTTATCATAGGTTTCGTACAGGTTAGAATTTTCTCTAGTTCAATTTACATTTCCCCTCATTGGTTAACAGATACGTATGAATCTCGAGAAGCAGTCATTAACAATTCTGTATGCTTCTGGCGGTAAGACTTTCCTTTGCACGTAAAGCTGTTGGGTACTCCAAATATTGCACAACGATCAATTATTATTGTTATTATTACTATTACTATTTATTATTCCTACTTCTATTACTATTATTATGACTGCTATTACCAGGATTCTTTAGGGTAGCTGGTCTTTCTCTCTTTCCTATTTCTTTTGATTCTTTCTTGTGTGTGTGACCTCTTTGTTCTTGTGCAGAGCATTGATAAATAGAGTAATTTATTTTGCTTTGCTTCTCTATTCGTATCGCTAGTAATATCTCCTTTTTCCCCTTTTGTAATGTTTTCTTATTTTTGGTGTTCCGTTCCATGTATATATTTATGTTTATCTTTAATCGACCATTGATTTTTTCTTTAAACTGCAGTAGAACTTGTCAGAAAACTTATCTAACAAAAGTTGAAAAGCGAATATGAATGTGCGCCTAAGTATATACAGTTTCTAGCAGTGCATTGACTGCTTGTTCACTTGTAGGGAATTGTAATACTTTGGAGGTTAGACCAAAGGCAAAAGGAGTGGATACAAGACAAGAGCTGCTCAAATTTTATGAAGAAAATTACTCTGCCAACCTTATGCATCTAGTTGTGTACTCAAAAGGTTAGTGACTAAGGGCCTGTTTGGTATAGCGGTTTAGAGATAGCAGTTAGTGGTTTTGTCCAAACTACTAACAATAGATCTTTGGTAAACTTATTTATTTTGAAACTGCTACAAACTGGGTGTTTGGTAAAATTTTTTATTTAGTGGTTTGAGACTAATAGATAGTGGTTAAGGTCTAAACCGCTAGCAAATTGAAAAAGCTACCTAAAGTAGTTTTTTGTACCAAACCACTAGCAAATTATAATTTTTTAATTTATTGACAAATTTATCCATTTTAATTTTTAAATTTTTTGTCACAGTTTTTAATTAATACTTATCTAATTTGTTTTAATTTCATTTTTTTGTCTTTAATTACATTTAGTGATTATTATATTTTTATTTTTACATTAATTTATCATAAAAAATATATTAGCTTAATAAACAAAATTTGCTAATTAGATGAAAAGAGTAAAATTTTTTGTACTTTATTTAAAAATAATATAATTTTTTCTTTGTTAGAAATAAAAATTAGTGTGTGATTACACTATTATAATTTATTTATTTTCTTATTATTACTTTTATGAAATTAATAATTTTAATAATAAAAAATATAAAAGAAAAGAATATACTTAATTATTTTTAAACGTCCTTGTTAGTCATTTAACATTGAACAACAACAATTAATTATTGTTTAACTAAATAATTATATTAATCGAAACCGTTATCTACTATCCACTACTCGCTATCCATCAACTAATATTTGCTACCCACTACCGCTATCTGCTATCCACTACCTACTATTTGTTATCTATTGAATTTTAACCGCTATATCAAACAGGCTCTAAGTTTCCACATAGTTAGGGCTTGGTGACATAAATATTTGGTTTGAAACAAAGAAAGTTCATAATATTCAGTAATGACAACTTTTATCTTTTTGTTGTGGACTTTTAGAAAGTCTTGATAAAACACAAAGCCTGGTAGAGGATAAGTTCCAGGAAATTAGAAACTCCGGTAGCAGCTTCCCAAGTTTTCCTGGTCAGCCTTGCTCATCAGAACATTTACAGGTTTGTAGAAATCATGTTATTACTGAGTTAATGCGTTTCCCATTTGACAATTTATGGTAGGTAGGAAGTAAACATTTTTGTAGTAGATTTTTAGCACTGCTATTTATTTGTCCATCTTTTATGCTGTCGGTTGTTTTAGATTCTTGTGAGAGCAGTTCCAATAAAAGAAGGTAACAAATTGAAAATTGTATGGCCAATAACTCCAGAGATTCATTATTACAAGGAAGGGCCATGCAGTTATCTTGGTCATCTTATTGGCCATGGAGGCGAAGGGTCTCTGTTTTACATCTTGAGAAAACTAGGTAGGTTGTTCAAATATTTTGCATGCATTAGGCTGTCGAACTCTGAAATATCTTAAAACATGTTGCCTTCACAGAAGTTGATTTTGTTTGTTGACATGTTTTGCTTTTTCTTAGTACATAATATGTAAGAAAAATGTTATGACAATCTCCAATTCAATAATAAAATTTTGCTAGAGTATCTTTTTTGTTTTTATTGTCATAAGAATTGAATTTATAGCAGATTTTTCTGCCAAAAAGGTGCTTCATTTCTTGAGGGTTTTGTTCAATATAGTCCAACATTTCTGAATAAAAATTTAGTTTAATAGAATCCAAATAAATTTAATGGTAATTACTAAAAAATATATGTATACAGGCATGTCTTTTCTATTTAAGGCTACTTCTTACTTCTATGAAACTTTGCAGGATGGGCTACTGGATTGTATGCTAATGAACAAAAGTGGACTTTGGAGTTTTCATTTTTCCAAGTAGTTATTGATCTTACAGATGCTGGTCATGGTAAGTTCTTTATTTGTATTCATTTCCTTTCACCTGCCATTTATTTGATTGATTTATAATTCTTTGAACCATTGTTTTTGTAAAAATGTTGCTTGGCATTGTTTTATTTTTGTTGAATCTCTGATATTGTTTTTTATATTCTTCTTCACTAAAATCACCTTTTTTTTTTGGGGATTTCAGATCACATGCAGGATATAGTCGGATTGCTATTTAAATACATTCAACTTTTACAGCAATCTGGTGTTTGCAAATGGATATTCGATGAGGCATGATTCTGTTTGAGCAGTAGCTGACATACTTTTTTCCAATGTTAATTATTGTTTTTGACTCTCATGCTAGAGATGTGGGAAGACAGCTGTCTTCCACGTTTTATTGGATTCTGACATCTTTGATTGTCATGAAGCTTTTAGCTGTCTGTGAGACAAGCTTTCACTATCAGGACAAAGTCCATCCTCTTCATTATGTTAAAGACATTGCATTGGACATGCGGGTAATTGACTTCATTTCTTCCCTTTCCTTTTTAATTTATCTTTTTCTGGTGAACCCTCTTTAATTTGTTTACTTTTTACCAATGGCAATCTTGCATAGTTTTTACTTGAAAAACTCTTCTAGCTTAGTCTATATTATTTTATAATCGCTTCATTCTTGTATTGCTTTCACAGGGATTTTTGCCCAAAAAAAAAAAAAAATCAAAATGAACACGTTGTCATGGTTTTACTGTACCATTGAAAATAGACCACAAGCAAATTAAAGCTTATCTTTTCTAAGTTATTGTAAATATGTTCATGCTATCAAAAATCTCATACATCAGAAACAAGATGCTGGTTCCTTTCTTCCGTAGAGTATTTTTATTGGGAATAAGTAACATCATTAGAATGTTATTTCTTGAAGTGTGAGTCTTTTTTTGGCTTGTGTGTTTCTGTTGAAACTTCAACGAGAGTACAGGGTCGTGTTATGTAATCCACTATTAAACAAAATTCTCCTAATCACCAATTATTTACCAGTCTGGTTGATCTTCAATCACATAAAAAAGTTTAACATCTAACCCCCAGATGTACCATAATTTGCAACCAAGGAAGAAACACAAAAAGTTTTCAAAATCCATGTTTGAAAATAATGTGGACTGTAATCTACTGTGCTTTTAAAGTTTCTAAGTCCTTGTTAATATATATACTTTTCCTTTTACACGCGTAATTGATTTTTTTCCCAGCATCAACTCTTGCAATTGTTATGTGTTGAGTTTTTCCTTGTTTCTTTTTTTTGCCTTAGGGGGGTTGACTATTATCCTAATCTTGCTTTTGAATTTGTTGAGATCCCACCTCTGCGGCTCCTCAGCCCTTTTTAATTTTAAGCTTCTACAATAAGAAGCCTCAAATGCCAAATTTACTTATTTGTAACTTATTCCATTTATCCCAGATTGAGTTTGTATGACCATTACTATGACTGGACTTTATGAGCCCATTAGGCTCTTGATTGTACATCTTTTCACTTTATCAACAACAATTAACCGGACTACATTGTAACTGTTCAACTATTGTTGTCTTTACATTTCTTGGAACAAGGACTTAGTTATGCCTAGCACCAAGCTAGAACTGAAGTATAACCATCCTAATAATTCTCTTCTACAATTCTGTATTGAACTTGACTAATATAAATTTTACATGTTTAAATGATGCTTTTGAAATTGTTTTTAGATGTATCCTCCTAGAGACTGGCTTGTGGGATCATCAATGCCTTCAGATTTCAATCAAGGCATCATACAATTGGTACTTAATGAGCTTTCTCCAGATAAAGTTCGGTAAGCACTTAAGAACAAATGTTGTTGCATTCTCTTGTATTGGTTTCCATTTTGGTAACTTGCTTTTTATATCCATATAATTCAACAACTGATCATCTTGACTGGTGATCTAGCTTGCTTATTTGAAATTGGTTAAACAAGAAAGGCTGTCCACATACGTTATGAATGTTTAGATAGATAATAGTGGCGAACAATGAATCAAGAAAAGAAGGTTATTATTTATGTGATATATGATGCATTACTTTAGATTTTCAATTATTTTTATAAACGATTCTGATACATAGAAAGCATAACTGGTAGTATGGAAGTCGAATAATTTAGTATCATATAGTTTAAAGAGTGTTCAAATGATAGTCAATAGTTTTAGTATGTTTTATTAAGGCTGAAGTGAGTGTTCAAAAATGAATGCAATTCTTTTCTGATGTTCACTTTTGGGTATTGCAGTTCATACATTAGACACAAATAAGTTCTCAAAAACTTCAATTTCTACTTTTTATTTCGGATTTTCTAATTAAAAAAAAAAAGCACTAAAACCATTGAAATGCGTCAAAAATCCATGCCTCCTGTTTTGGCATATTTCTCATAATTCTGCAACTACCTATCTGCATTTTTCCAGTTACAGAGGTGGTTTTGGTTCGGTGTATTTTTTTTTTTTTTTCCTGATAAGCTCTATGTTTGACAGAATCTTCTGGGAGTCAAAGAAATTTGAAGGACTTACTGACATGGTGGAACCATGGTATGGCACTGCATATTCCATTGAGAAAGCCACAACATCCATGATTCAGGTTTGTTTTGGAATTTGAGTGTGATGCCTGATTTTTCATTGTTCCATGTTTATTGAGAAAATTCCACATCCTAAAGTTAAGGGAAACCTTTGGTTTTTAATATAATGTGAATTACTTCACTTATTGCCAATTGGTTTTAAGTTGAATGTTTGCTTTCCAAACTTAATCATGTTGGAAAAATAAATAGCAGATACCTATGACATATATGGGTACCATGGTATCGATTTCCACTTATGGGGAGAAACTTGGAAAAAATTGATCATATCTCTGTTGCATGGTTGCCTTTGCTTGAGAGGAACTGTTGCCCCTTCGTACGGTAGCTTAACTTCAAATTAATTAAGCCTTTTTGGTTTTTGTAATTGGAATCTTTGAAATTTAAGTGCCTGGTGAACTCTCTGGTTGCAGGAGTGGATGTCATTGGCTCCTAATGAGAATCTGCGTCTACCGGCACCTAATAGTAATATCTTCATCCCAACAGATTTGTCACTTAAAGATCCGGAAGAGAAGGTTTGAAAAATCCCTCAGTTTGGTCTTGCACAATCATTTATAAGTAGTTTTTCTGATTAATGTGAGTTTGGAGCAGATCAAGTATCCAGTTTTACTTAAGAAGTCATCCTATTCAACTGTATGGTACAAGCCTGATACGATGTTCTCCTCTCCTAAGGCATGTGTTAAGATAGGCTTCAACAGCCCCTATGCTAGAAATTCCCCTGAAGCTGAAGTTCTTACATCAATTTTTGCCCAATTGGTGATGGATTACTTGAATGAATATGGTATGTTAGATTGCATTCTTGTTGTTGCTTGTGATCAAATAATTGAATAAAGATTTGGACAGTGATTGGTATATGCTTTGGTTCAATACATTGCATAACATACATTAAAAAATTATTATTATTTTTATTTAAAATTAAAAACAAATAAACTTAAAAATGCAATCATGCATATAAGATGTAAGAATTGACTGAATCGATTGTATTTATATTATATTTTAATAATTAAATTGAAACAAGTGTCAAAAAATATGTTGAACTAAGTGTGTATCAATCATTTTCCTAAAGATTTACTATCCTATATGTTAAAATTAGAAGTTTATAGCCTTTAAATATGCAATGGGGTTTCAATTTTCTCTTTCTTTGCGTGGGCTACTTTCTTCCGCATTCTTTCTACAGGGGCTGTAGATTTTATTATTATTATTATTATTATTCTATTTGTTAATAGCACTATATTTTTGACAAACATGTTATATTTCTTCCCAGTTTACCATGCCTGGGTTGCTGGCCTTCGGCTTCGTTTCTACAGAAGCGAAACTTATAGTGGTTTTGAGGTATTTTTTTTCCCTCTTTTCTTTTTATATGGATTCTATCTTAATAGTTTCTTGCTTCATTTTGGTATCCATAGAACAAATTGGACAGGTCTTTTCTTTTCTTCTCTTCTCTTTTTTAAAACAGAAGAGAACCATTTCAGTTTTGCTTTTGATTTCTTAACATTTTTTATCATTTTATCTTAAGCATCTATACAATTCGTTGGCATGGGAAATCCATTTTAGGTCAGACTGCTTTTGAATATATGTGATTATAGCTTTGCTCAATGGTGCACTGAATAGCTAGCTTCCTCTTAGCTAACATATGCACGTGTTGATGATAGAATAAATTCTGATAAAATCCCACATGGATAAAATAATAAAGAAGTATGTGAGTTAAAATCCCGCATTGGTAAAATGATAAAGAAGTATGTGGGTTAAAACAAATTCTAAGGCATATATTAAGTGGGAAAATCTCACATCGCTAAAATAATAAAGAAGTATGTGAGTAGGTTAGATCCAATTGTTATGTTGAAGCCTACATGTCAAGCATGGTATACTACATACATTTTAGGAGGATGAAAACTGGATTAGACTGACAGTTTGAATAGAATTCTACTTTATTCTTTTGCCTTCAGTTCTTGTTCAATTTATTTATAGGCTTTACCATCTCCTATTCTGTGATATCTATGCATTGGGTACTTCAGAACGTGAAAAAAATCCATGAAAGGTTATCATTTGGTAGTATTTACTATTGTTTTATGTGTTGTATAAGTGCGTCCATGCATTGTTTTTTGTATTTGTAAGTAACCAGTTCTTCTTCAGGTGACATTGGATGGTTACAATCACAAACTACGGATGCTATTAGAGACTGTTGTTGATAAAATTGCAAAATTTGAAGTAAAACCTGACAGGTTTTCTATAATCAAGGTAATGAAATCTATCTACTTCAGGTATTGTAGATGTCACAAAATTTTATTTTTGCCCCTGAAAAAACTCTTTAGCATACAACCAACTAATATCAGCCAATTAAATATCTTTTCCTGGCTTCTGGAATGTATCGTGCTATGTTCAATTGTATCCTGACACTTTGTAAGCTTTGTCATGTTAAAGCCCCCCTGTTCAGCCTCACAGAGTTATGCATACCTTTGTAGTTTGCCCACTTAAAGAGGTGGCATTTCATCACTCCCATTGTTATACATAATTAAGTCCTCATAATGCAGTCTTTCAAACATGCTAATATATAACATCATTGCACTAGACTATGGAGGATCTTTTATTTGAGATTCTTTTTCTTAGCCTCTGAGTTGCATTCTCTAGTGTCCTCTGAATTTCTTCCCACTCCTGTCTTTTTTCCAGGAACAGGTAACACAAGACTATCAAAATCGGAAGTTTCAGCAACCTCGTGAGCAGGCTATGTACTATTGCTCATTATTATTGGAGGACCGCTCATGGGCCTGGATGGAGGAACTTGAAGTCCTGCCAAATATTAAAGCTGAAGACCTCGCCAGATTTGCTCCCATGATGCTCTCAAGGGCCTTCCTTGAATGTTACATAGCAGGTCTTTCTTATTCTTCTTCCCGCTTTCAACCCAATAAAGTCGTTGGTTTAGTTTATGTTTGCTATATTCTAAATAGTATTTTATTATCTCTTAGGTAACATTGAACGTGCTGAGGCAGAGTCAATTATAGAGCATGTTGAAGATATTTTCTTTAAGGGCTCAAACCCTATATGTCAACCATTATTTCCATCCCAGCATCTCACAAATAGAGTTGTAAAACTTGTGAGAGGCATGAATTACTTCTGCTCTAAGGAAGGGCTAAATCCAAGTGATGAGAATTCTGCCCTTCTGCACTATATTCAGGTAAATTACATTTGTTCTGGAATCTACAAAAGGATATTCAATTTTGTGAGGGCATTTAGTCATCTTTTCTGGAACGCCTTTATTTGTTTTGTATTTCTCATACGGTTCTTCCGCAGTTGTTGTAATCTATTTACTGTTTGACCTGTAGAATCATACATTGTATGATGTCCAAACATCTTTGAGATGTTGTGGTTTCATCTGATGGCTACCGCTGAGACGATGCAGCAATTACTGTTTATTGACAAGTTTTCTAATTCAAATGATTTAGTAGTCTATCATGGGCCTCAGGCTACAATACTCTAAGTTCCTAAAATGGTTTGCAAGGGAACTTAGTTATTAAATCACAATATCCTCGGTTACCATATCATATTGCTGAGGTCATCTTGTAATCTCATTTGATATCCAATTAGAGTGATTTTTATTTTTGCTGAGTAAGCTTTGTCACTAATCTAATTCTTAGTAGGGTTCTGATGTCCTATAAAAATAGTAGGGTTCTGATGTAAGGTCATCTGTAAATGTCCAGGTTCATCGAGATGATTTTATGTTGAATGTGAAACTCAACCTTTTTGATCTTATTGCTTGGCAACCAGCGTTCCATCAGCTTGGATCTGTTGAGCAACTTGGGTACTTTACTGTTCTCTTGGAGAGGTATTAATAGTTTCCCATCCATGAATTTAGACATCATTATCTTTTATCTTATTGATGTTCATTTTTCTGTTCGTTAGGAATGATTTTGGAATTCGTGGATTGCAGTTTATTATCCAGTCCACTGTGAAGGTAAATGTTGTTGTTTTGCCCTTTCTGTGTTATTTGTCGTCTTGATGATTCCTCCCTAAAACTTGGTTAACCTGCACAGGGCCCAGGGCGTATTGGTTTAAGAGTTCAGGCATTCCTCAAGATGTTTGAGACTGAACTTTACAAGATGACCCATGATGAATTTATGGTAAGATTGAAGTAGGTATGAATAATTATTCTTCTATTCATTAATTTATGTTTACTTGAACCTCCATGATAAGATCCATGGTAGTGCACTGCTGGATGTTTTCTCAAATCAATAACCATTCAGACTAGGTGTGTCTACCTGCATGTATTTTTGCTTGTCCATGTATGTACATATGTTCTTGTCGGCAACCCTTAATGGTAAACTCATTGTTGAACTTGTGGTTATGCAGAGCAGGGTAAATGTACTGATTGATATGAAGCTTGAGAAGCACAAGAATCTACTGGAAGAATCTAGGTTTTACTGGAGAGAAATTACTCATGGAACCCTTAAAGTTGATCGGATAGAAGCTGAGGTATATGTAACCTTTCTGATCCTATTTCACCTCTAAAAGAGTAAATGAACATCCATTGGATTTGTTGCAGGACTTGTAAATGTAATAGAGAGGCATGAAAATCTTCTTCATGGTCTTTCATTTCTCTCAATGAACACCATCTGCAAGGAACATAAATCATGATAAGGTGAATACTAATCGTGTTCTAACAGGTTGCAGCACTAAGGCAACTTACACAAGCAGAACTGATAGACTTCTTCAATGAGTATATAAAAGTCGGTGCACCACAAAAGAGGACCCTGAGCATTCATGTGGTTGGGAAGGGACATTGAGCAGAGTAAAAAGCCACGTAAAGTGAAGTGGTTCAATCAGCCAAAATTGATGACATATTTAGTTTCTTCAGAAAATCATTACCACTTTATGGTTTATTCAGAGGAGGCGCTAGTCATGTAAAATTGTAGTTTCAAAGGAGAGGGCAGAATCAATATTGGAGCTTCAACTCTTGAAATGGAGATACAAACTCAAACGAGCTTTGGTCACTGACAAAGCTCAATGTTCGATAGTTATCTGCACGGCCAATGCCAATGAAATTGTAACTTTATATTAATTTTTTTCTAATTTATTTCTAGGACTGAAAATTAAACTAAAGTCATACATATTTGAAAGAAATTTGCCTCTGCTTTGAGAACTTCAATAAAATGAAAGCAGAAAATATTGCCAAGTGATGTATAGGAAACTAGTAATTGTGTATGGTTTGTAAAATGGTGGGGAAACTAGTTGCGATTCTTGTGTAAGTGCTGTTATCTAAGTGTGCATTTTTGTACCCTTTTTGTTTTCTTAGTAAATAGCTTTTTAATTCTTGAAAAGGAGGATGAATAAAACATTTTACCCATCGCTCTCACCATACATAAACAAATGTGTTTAACATTTAAATGTAAGGTAAACCGATGTGTTTAACATGTAAATGTAGGGTTTTGAGTCACTTCTTTAACCATCCCACCCTAATCCATATTGCTTATTAAAATTTCAATTATATAAGAATTTACAGGTTTTAGCTCTCAAACCTTTTCACCAAAATCATAATTTAAACTTTTCGTTTATTGGCAATTGAAAATTTTTATTCAAGAGGGTAAGGATACTCTTCATGTAGCTATGTAAGATTCCCAAAAAAGGGTAAATTCATCTCGCTACTTTCATTGCTTAAATAAAACTCTCTGAAATAAATCGCCTCTTCTACTTTGAGGCTAAATGAAATTAGATCTCTTATATTTAAATTAAAATAAATTAATTTAAATATAACCACAACACCATCCTACATCACAATTCCGTCTCTTCCTTTCGGTTCCAGTTAACTTTCTGTCACTTCCGTTCCATTTCATTACTTCTTGCCGACTAGGCAATTATGGGTCCAGCCCCCCCGCCCCCTTCCTTTTTTTTTAAACGTGGCAATCACTTTTTATGCTGGACAAAAGCAGTGGCAAACTACTTAGGGTGTCGGACCACAATGTTAGTGTCGATACTTCGGCTTTAAATTTCACAAGCATGCGACGTTATAACCCATAGTGTTGACACAACCCATGTCAGTTTTTTTTTTTTTTTTGTGATTTTTTTGCAATTTTTCCAATGGTAAAGTAGCCAATTTGGTCATTTAGGTTCTACAAAATGAGCATTTTGATCCAAGCACAAATAAATAAATTGAATAGAAGAACTCTCATAAGGTAAAATTCATAACAAAATAAAATTATCAATTCCTTGGTCCAAGGATATACTACAAGAAAAAGGTTGAATCCCTGCATTTGTTTAAGTGTTTACTTGCATTTTTAAACACAGGTAAAAAGATTATCAGCATTTGTACAAATGTCACACAAATATTGGTGTGTACATATAAAAACAAGTGAATACCATACCTGCATTTAATAGGAACACTGATATAAACTTATTTTCCCCTGCATTTATTGAAAATATAGGGAAATCACTTAAAGAACGCTGGTAATGCCCATATTCAAAGTCCCAGATTGGTAATGTTTTGACCTGCATTTTTGGTCAAACACAGGGCCTTTTTTTT